TGCCATGTGTATGAAAGGCGCTCTACAAATAAACTTTGATTGATTGATTGATTGATATTGACTTCATGTAAATAAACAAATCCATAGTCAAAAGAGGCTGTGTTTAACTGTGGGATCCACCTCTGTCAGCTCTGCTTCTGTGACCCAAAGAGAACTGCAATTTTAATTTACTGAAATGTTTTTAATAGTATGTTTATTTTTTTATTTTATTTTTTTGAAAAACTGGTTCATAATTGTTCACAGCTCTGTTTGAGAGGTGCAACTCTTTGGCTGGTTAAGGACTTTATGCTTAAGTTATTTTCTTTGGCTATTCTATGAATTAAATATATATTTTAGAAGCTTGACCATAGCCAAACAAGAATTAATCATTTCTTAATAACTATAATGAATAACTTTTTCTTGTGAATGACGTCACATTGTGCATACTGTAAGTTCCTGCTAACAACCAAACAACAATGACCTCTGCCATTTCGGGATTTTAGCCTATTTTTGTGTCGTCAGATTTTGAATTGGAAATTTGAAAAGGATTATTTGTTCCATCAGAAATTGAATTTTAGATGGACCTGAATTCATTGATTTGATCGAATATTTTTGTCTGCAAATTTCAGTCACTGATTATCAATTTCATAAAGTCTAAATTTGCAGCGAAAAAATACGTTTTACTGAGGTAAAGACAGGCTCTAGCTTTCAGCAGGGCTATCGGTTGATAACATGAATCTAACAGGTTGATATGGGATTTCTAATGAATGGATTGTAAGCGAATAACAAGATGATACTACATTCATTTGAATGTCTTTTGAACATTTTGGGTAAATGTGCTTGTTTCAAATCATTATTGCTGTATATTCCTGTTTATGGCTGTGTGTGTTTGTGTTCATGAAAACCATCATATTTGAACATTTATAGCAACGAAGGACAGTATTATAGTAAGGTTACACAGTATTTTGGTCTTGCAGCGTTTGTTTCCCGTGTAGCAGTTTGCACTGTTAGGGCTCACTTGTGTTACTTTAAAAAGAGCAAACACTCTCACGGGACTCATTGTAAAGGAAATAACAAAAAACATGTATTCTACAGCTTGATCTCTTGTACACTAAAGGATATTTGCTGAGTTGACTCTGAAATACAGTAACGGTGAGAAAACCGTATGAACCTTAATTCTTCAGCTGCAAAGTTACCTGCTCTTTCGGCTCTTCGCTCTTTTTGCAAACAAAGTAAAACCTCTCTCTCTCTTTCTTAAAGATCTACATTAGTTCTAAAGGGCTGGGTTGGTGGCAATCAGCTGCTGCCCATTCACAGAGCACCACCCTCACTGCTCCTCCTGGTCCTCACTGATCCTCCTGGTCCTCACTGATCCTCCTGCTCCTCCTGGTCCTCACTGATCCTCCTGGTCCTCATGGTCCTCACTGATCCTCCTGCTCCTCCTGGTCCTCACTAATCCGCCTGCTCCTCCTCCTGGTCCTCACTGATCCTCCTGCTCCTCCTGGTCCTCACTAATCCGCCTGCTCCTCCTCCTGGTCCTCACTGATCCTCCTGCTCCTCCTGATCCTCACTGATCCTCCTGCTCCTCCTGGTCCTCACTGATCCTCCTGGTCCTCATGGTCCTCACTGATCCTCCTGCTCCTCCTGGTCCTCACTGATCCTCCTGGTCCTCACCGATCCTCCTGCTCCTCCTGGTCCTCACTGATCCTCCTGCTCCTCCTGGTCCTCACTAATCCGCCTGCTCCTCCTGCTCCTCCTGCTCCTCCTGCTCCTCACTGCTCCTCCTGCTCCTACTGGTCCTCACTGATCCTCCTGCAGGTGGAGGGTCCACAGAAGGCTTCTCTGTCGGTGAGAGCACAGCCTTGATATTTCAAACAAATAACCCTAGATGAGTTATTACCAGTTTATAACAAATAAACAAACACATTGGAAATACTCTAATATACAGTCTGTGCTACATGCTAAATAGCAAACTAATTAAACTTAGCTTGGTTCCCACACCCCTATGTTTTCATTTGCAGTTAAGATGTATCTAATCCAGATAGAAGCAAAGTATAACTTTAACTGACTTCATGGTAAACTCTTATAAATATATCAATAGTAACGGAGAGACATAACGAGAGACTTCAGTGAAGTGAAAACAGTTCATTTGCGTATTTTTTCGCGGCAATTTTAGACTGTTGAATTTAAGCTCTTGAAAATATATACATTTAATTTTTTTTATTTTAAAATTAAAAATTAATGTAAATAAAAAAAATCAAGATGTTAAAAAATTCAAATCGATGGATTCAGGTCCATTTAAAATTCAATTTATGATGGAACAAATAGTCCTTCTTTTTTTTCATCAAAAAAAGAAATTTGAATATTTTGAAGGTGAATTTGTCACTTTAACATTTTAATCACATTGAAGTTTGTAAACAGAATTTTAGAGACTGAAATGCAAAGACACAAATATTCAAACATGCTTCTTCAGGGTTAAACATTTCAAATGGAAAAATTCAAGCTCATTCAAAATTCAAAATCTGATGACACAAATAATCTTCCATAAAAGCCTATATTGTTTGCATCATAAACAAACCAAAACGCATTCAAATTATCTGAGAAAATCAGAACTCATTCCTCTATCTGCCGCGGGGGATGCTTCAGAGGATGAAGGACTGAGTGAGGTGGATCTGATTTGCTCTTGACTTAGCGGGAATGTTCTCCTGCCTCATGCTGTCGAACATCTCTAAGATTCTGCTTAACTTTTATCGCTGCACCATTGAGAGTTTACTTGTTGGTTCTGTGTCTGTGTGGTTTGGAAACATCACAGATAAAGAAAAGAGAGCTTTAAACAAGGTGCTCCGCTCTGCAAAGAGGACCGTGGGCTGTGAGCTTCCTGTTCTGGAGGTTTTTTACAAATCCAGACTTTTAAACAAAGCTCTTAAAATCATCAATGACTCTTCTGGCCACCCTGGAAAAGCCATGTTCCAGCTTCTTCCTTCTGGTAGAAGATATTGGTCGCTGAGATGCAAGACATCTCGCCATGCCTTTCCACAGGCTGTTAGGTGCCTAAACAGAGCACTTTAATTCCTGCTTTTACCCCTTGTATCGTTTTGTTGATCGGTGCCACAGTGTCAGCTGTTTTTTTATTCTTTTATTTTCAGTGTATGTGTATTTTATATTACATTGTATCGTGCTCTTTAGTCTGCCGGTGCACACAGAGTACCTTTTTTTTGCAAATGTATTCCAATGTAGTTTTTATACTGCACATGGCTAATAAAATGAATCTGAAATGAATCTGACATCTGACCGTGAGAAACACACAGCCGCAAACACTACAGTTGGCTTGGCAGCAATCGGCGTTCACTCTAACCATGCTTGTTGTGCTTCCCACTCTCGTCTGTTCTTCTGTAGTCGCTTCCGTTTCTTTCCTGAATGGGATGTCTCTGTTTCTGAGTCTGTCGAACATTCGGATGTTCGTGCCTCTGCCTCTGCCGTGATGATGATGATGATGATGAACCCTACTTTCTGCACAAGTCTAAAGCCCACGAGAAAGCCCATTTTTCAGATATAGATAAAAATATGGCCTTGTTTAATGGTTTTCTAATGTTTATAACAGGACTTCCTAGTTGGAGATGGGCTGCATGGGACAGGAGTTAACGCACATTCAGATTAATTTCCATTTGCAGTAAAACCACATTGGAATAACTATACAGGAGTACCCCAGTGTGCACCAGGACAGTACACTTCAGAGCTCTCACCAAAGTCTGGTCACATTGATACAAAAGTTTTAGAACGATAAGCAGAGACATAAAATGACATCTTCATCTTGTTGACTGAATGTTTTATTTGTCCGATAACTTCTTTTCTTGTGGGTACTTTGTCTCTGCGTAATGAGTGGGTTACAGGTGGAGCGGTTCATCCATTTGTTAAGTAGATTAGAATTTGTAATCTACTGACGTTTAATGTAATTACTGACCCTGTTCGTTCTTTTAATTTAATTTACTGCTATCCTCTTATTTTTGTCTACTTCTCATTTTAATTGACTACATGTCCGTATGTAGTCTTGTGTATTTTAGATTTGATGAAAACTTCAAAGTATTAAGGAACTTTGTTTTCTATTCCTGTATGCATGTATGTCTGAGTTATTTTTCCTTCAAAGAAAATCATAAAAAACTCCCCCAATGTACTCAGTAATGGTTCAATTATAAGTACTGCTGTCAAACAATTGAAATATTAAATCGGGATTAATGTCATCGTTAACGTGCAATTAATGTCATATTTATTCCTGTTCTAAATATCGCTTGATTTGTCTCGAAAATCTTATATTAATATTAATTGTGTTTGGATTGTCTAATAATGGATTCTCAATCTTTGCTTTTGTCATTGCTGTTTACAGTGTGAAGAACTATTTAAGTTTGTAGAAATGACTTAATTGTCAAATAACGCCAACTCGTTTGTTTGTATTTTCTTTCAGGTCAGTTAGATTGTTTTTACAGTGTATGTGACGATCACTGCAGTGGAAGTATCTATAGCTTCAACGTTTGGGCAGCGACCTGGATTTAGCTGTTATTCTGATGGACACATACAGAATAACAGTATTTTATTCATCAGGAGTGAGCGCGACAGCTTTTGTTTTCTTTCAAAGTGTAAAGTCTGGCCTCCGCTTTCCGCAGCGGCTCCAGTAGGAGGCAGTGGGGCTTTTGTCATATACGGGCCCGTGGTAGAAGCCTGGAGCAGCCCATGCTCGCTGACGCAGCCCACAATATGACTCTGCCGTAAAATGGCTTTATGTCAACACCTTTGTTAAGCATATTTTTCTCTCTTAAATTGTTCCAAAATTTACAATGAGTTCCGTCCACCTTCATACAGCAGCATGATGTCATCACCGTACAGCAGCATGATGTCATCACCATACAGCAGCATGATGTCAAATCGAGATGAAACAAGGGGTTATGGACAAAAAATATACAAAAAAATAAACTGGGCTGAGGAGAAGACTGGACCAGAAAAGTAATAACAGAGGATAAACTGACGATCTAGCACATGCAAACTGCAGCGATGAAGATGATGTGAAGGGTGAGGATGATGATGATGACAAGGATGATGATGAGGATGATGATGAGGAAGATTATGATGATGATGACGAGGATGATGATGATGACGAGGATGATGATGAGGATGATGATGAGGATGATGATGAGGAAGATGAGGAAGATTATGATGATGATGACGAGGATGATGATGATGACGAGGATGATGATGAGGAAGATGAGGAAGATTATGATGATGATGACGAGGATGATGATGATGACGAGGATGATGATGAGGATGATGAGGAAGATTATGATGATGATGAGGATGATGATGAGGAAGATGAGGAAGACTATGATGAGGAAGATTATGATGATGATGACGAGGATGATGATGATGACGAGGATGATGATGAGGAAGATGAGGAAGATTATGATGATGATGACGAGGATGATGATGATGACAAGGATGATGATGATGACGAGGATGATGATGATGATGATGATGAGGATGATGAGGAAGATTATGATGATGATGACGAGGATGATGATGATGACGAGGATGATGATGAGGATGATGATGATGATGACGAGGATGATGATGATGACGAGGATGATGATGATGAGGATGATGAGGCTGCAGGTGTGGGGGTAGAACACATGACACCAGCACTCGGACAAACCCTCACATTTACACTTAAAATGCTATCGAGAATTCTGCGCTCTCATCCTGACATCATGGACACACACGCTGACAAACCGAGGTGTGATTGAATTAAGAGATTAGATAATTGCTTCTTGACGTTGACAGTCTCGTGGGTGGAACATTGTAAACATTATTAGTGTGAGCAGGACAGAGTCACTCAGAGGCAAAAACGGAGGCAGAAGAATTACATTGTTCTCGTGTTGCGGTCGGTCCCACGCGAGCCCTGAACGCGAAGAGGTAAAAATAGTTTGTTTTTTCCACTGTATTAAAGTGCGTGGCTAATTAACTGCTCTTGAAACAGAACCGACGGCAAAAATAAACAAGACTGTGTTGCTGTTGGAAACTAAGAACTGGATCAGATGGAGGTAGCCATTTTGTCTTTCTCTACTGTTTCCACCTGCCCTACTTGGTCTCACTCTATTCTACAATACTCTGCTCTGCTTTACTCTTCTTGGCTCTACTCTACTCTACTCTACCCTACTCTACTCTCCTTGGCTCTACTCTACTCTACTCTACTCTCCTTGGCTCTACTCTACTCTACTCAACTCTCCTTGGCTCTACTCTACTCTCCTTGGCCCTTCTCTTCTCTACTCTACTCTACTCTACTATACCCTACTCTACTCTTCTTGGCTCCACTCTATGTTACTCTACTCTCCTTGTCTCTACTCTACTCGGTCTTTCTCTACTCTACTCTACTCTACCCTACTCTACTCTACTCTTCTTGGCTCTACTGTAACTCTACTCTTCTTGGCTCCACTCTACGTTACTCTACTCTCCTTGTCTCTACTCTACTCGGTCTTTCTCTCCTCTACTCTACTCTACCCTACTCTACTCTACTCTTCTTGGCTCTACTGTAACTCTAGTCTACTTGGCTCCACTCTATGTTACTCTACTCGTCTTGACTCTATCTGGTTGTGTTTCCATTACGCTTTAGTATCAGGTAATGTACAAGCCCCGGTGATCCAAGATGGCGTCCTATTCAAATGAATGCTGTGTGCTCAGTAGGGCATTGGACAAACACGGGCACTGAAAGATTAGCGGAACTCGCAGTAAAGTGTGGATTTAAAGAAAACCGAAGAATTTAGGAAGAAAAATAGTTCAGAATGACAAGGGGCGCTAAAATCCCCACAAAAACCAACCTTTATGAAAGCTGTAGGTTTCTGTCAGCTTAAATGGAGCTGTTTTAGTTTATATTGAGTTCTATGGGGAACATGTCGGGGTAACCCACGTGAATTTAGTCTTGCTTAGTCTGCAGTACCACGAGAATCCCCCGAGCGTGTTCTTGCTTCAGATCCAAGCTATAGTACTACCCTGTCCAGATATTCTTATAGATCCACAGGTATGTATCCTAGCAACCTACCTTCAACAAACCAGTTCCAGGAAATTCTATTTTAACCATGGCTTTGCAGGCATTAAAATCATAAATGATCAGAGTACGTTCAAACCAATGAATATACAATCCGTGAGTTGTTGCAGCTAAACAGAATGGTTTTTAACCTGGATTTGAACATTGTCAGAGAGGAAGCCTGTCTCACCTTTTCAGGAAGAATGATTCTAGCTGCATTATTCGGAATCCCCATGTTTAGTCATGACTCTGGGACAGGCTGCTGCAAACAATTACAAATGAATAATCTTGATACAGGCTCTTTATAACGGACGGTGTGTTCAAAGCTACTCTGAAAAAATGTTTAAAAAATTCCCGAATGGACTTTTTTCCCTTTGTAAAACTGGGCCCAGTGACACGGCACTTTTCAGACTTCAAAATGATCAAGTCCTGAGAAAATGATTGAAAAAGTGAAGTTGATAGAAGCAGGTAGTTTCTCGCTGTGGACTTTGGTCTGAGTCGAGTCTTTAACAGTATCTGAGCGGCTGCCGTTATCACCGCGACGGGAGCAGAGGAGAACGGCGTCGTGGGGAGAGGAGAAGATTGTTTGTTTTACCTCCTGTGTCCTCCGCCTGCTCACTCCGGGCCCCCCCACCGGACCCCCCTCACGGCCCCCCACTGTGGCTCTGATGGCTCTGCTCTCCACTGTCGCTGGGTGTGTGGCAACTCTCAGATTTCATATCAATAGATTTAATTTGATGGTTTTGAACAAATTAAGGGATGCATTTGAGTTATTTTCAATAAAATTCAATGTATGGTGTATCAAGCCCTAAATCACAACAGCAGTTGTCTGTACAATAGATAGACTATAAAAAGTTGTTGATTCACCAACATCAGTTCAGAGAATCAAACAGTCTGAACACAGGAAATGGAATAATAACAAACACATTGGAGCCATTGGTCCATAGAGAGCGTGAAGACCCAACGGGAAAACAATGAGACATATCTGAAACATTGATCAGCATACATGTATTACTATCAAAGGAATGTCTGGATTGTTTTGATCTGTAGGGTGGCTGAGTGGTTAGCACTCCTCTCAGCAAGGAGCTCACAGGTCAGAACAGGGGTTTTCTGAGTAGAGTTTGCATGTTCTCCCAGCGTTTGTATAGAATTTTTTTCTACCAGTAAAACATGTATAATAGGTCAAATCCTCCAAGAACAGACATGTCAAACCCAGGCCCGTGGGCTATATTTGGCCCTAAAGACCAGTTTTTGTGGCCACTGAAATGGTTTTCAATCATCATTATTTTCTCAGGAATACGACCGAAAATATCTGTTCTGAAATTTAAAGTAAATAGAAGTAAGTGTTTGGCCATATGTTTTTAGAGTTAATTACAGTCTTCAATTACATCTCTTCTTCATATTTAGAAAATAATATCCAAACCGATATCAAACAATTTTGACAAAACGAAAACCACATTTATAGTGTGACGCCCATATCCAAGAACATACACATCTGGAGAAGGGTCTCTTGCTGAACTTGGCGACCACTGCTCCAGACAGAGGCCCTGGTGCGGGAGCTCCAGTGATGTTTCTCTTGTACTGTAATTGTAACTTTCAGAAAGTCATATCCTGACTATAAGCCGCTACTTTTTCTCGTTCTTTGATCCCTGCGGCTTATACATGCCGCAGGGATGTGTATGCGTATTTTTTATTGTGGTAGAGCTTGACTGTTGACTTAGTAGCTATAGGAGAGGTTTATTGTCAATGAATTATCTATTGTCATTACATCATGTTGTGTTAAACAGTTGTCTCTATGCTACATTACAATATGAAAACCTGCAGCTTGTATTCAGGTGCGGCCTATATGTGGATAACATTGATTTTCTTTTCAACTATAGGTGGTGCTTCCTCTATAAGGTGCTCCTTATGGTCCAGAGAGTACAGCAGTCACATGTTCCAGGATCTTTACATTGTGGCAGTAAACACAGGAGCGGGACCACAGCACTTTGTCTGATAAGGTGCCGTTCTCTGTCTGTGAGTAACGTCTCTGCAAAGTCTTTTTCACAGGACAATTTCAGTCTGATGTTTATGTCGTGCTTTTGTGGTGATGTCAAACAATGGCTGTGTCCCGCTGTGTCAGAGGAAGACTTCACAATGGAAAAGACAAAACAATAACTGCCCCATCTCTGCGCTTTACAACTCTGGAATGGAATGTGTGTGCGGCGTCTGTTCACCTGTCATTTCATTCTCCCTCCCTCCCTCCCTCCCTCTGCCTGACCCCAAAACCAAGAACACAAATCCATTAAAAGCTCCCGTCCAATCAGTCGTTCTTTTGTCTGACAGCCTTCAGCTCCAAATCACTACAAGCCTTCAAACACGAGAAGTCCAAGAGCAGTCAAATTCATAGCTGTGACTTTTCTTTTCTGTTTCTTTATCGTTCTGATTACTTTATTTTACTTTTTGAGATGTGAGTAGTTCTAACTTTAACCAAAATTTAAATGTGGCCTTTTTTTTGTAAATTTCAGTTTGAATGAGAGCAGTCAAAATGACGCCTCTGGGAGTTCTAGTAGGCGCACATCACCGGATCTATTATAGTATCTGGATAGGGTATTGCTAGCTTATAGCCGGGCATGGGGGGCACCTGTGGTACTGCAGACTTAATTCATGTCGGTCATGCAGTTTCCCTCTGTGAATGAAGGCATCTGATTGGTCAATCCTTACCGCCCATCTCTGGATTTACAAAAACAAACAGTTACTGAGCGAGAAGAGTTTAGTTTTCAATGCACGTCAATAGGAACCGAAACCATTGGCAACACTTCACCAATGAGCACTTCCCTATTGGGCTTTATTGAGCAAGTTAGCATTGTTTGTCTTACAGTTATCTGCAATCATTTATTCATGGAGACTGCACCATTACTGTTGGGGCTGTTTAATTAAAAAAGTGTTTAGATTCCAAACGGAGGGAGAAACATATTATCATAAATTATACTTTAATCATCAGTTAAATGTATATATATTAAACCTTCAGTGAAATAGCTTTGGGCAAAAATGCGTTTTCTCCCTTAAACATTCTGAAACGTAATTGGATATAAAAGATTAGTCCTGTGGAACACCTCAGGCCTGAATAACATCACTGCTTTCAACAAAATGAACACAAATCTCCAACAATAACTTGAACGCCTGAACGCTGCTCTCTGAGGATTCATAATGACGGCAATGTCAGAAGAATGGGACTATTTTACAAGTGAGAAAATATGTATTTATTTCAATTTTGACTGCACCGCGGTGGTTCATATTTTTGTTTCTCTGCCTCGTCTTCTCTGCCTTAGTTTCGCTAACAGTTTGTGTTTTAAGTTTCATTTATAGCTTTCTACAGTTGTTTTTCACTGCCATTTACACACTCAAAGTTGTTCTCAATCATATTCTGTCAAAACTGTGAGCTTTGGAGGTTCTTTATGAATCCAGACTCGTAAACTGAGCTCTATGATTAATCAGTGACTCTTGTGGCCCCTGGAAAAAACATGTTCCAGCTTCTTCCCTCTGGCAGAAGACATCGTTGGCTGAGACGCAGGACATCTGGATAGGCTAACAGCTTCTTCCACCTGTTCTCAGTCTCTACTATAATGATCTTCACTTCACTTCAATGATCCCGTACTTGATTGTTTGCTTGTTTTATTTTTTACATTTGTCTGGTGCGCACTGGGGACTTTTGCTCATTTATTCTAATGTGTTTTTTTTTTTTTTTTTACTGCAACTGGCAAATAAAGTGAATCTGAATCTTAATAATCTGAAAACCGGAAGCGCCAATGCGAGATGGCTGCTTGTTGTAGTAGCTCGCCAGCCCCTTTCAGGTAGCTCCACAACAGGCTCAAGAATCCACCCCATGATCCTGAACCATTCACTTTTGAGTCATATCTAAAAACAAGTCTATTTCTAACTATACAGATTCATGCAGCCACAATCTGGAACAGTCTTCCTAAAGATGTGAGACAGGTTTTTTATCTGACACTGTTCAAATCCAGGTTTAAAAGAGTTCTGTTTAGCCCTGCGTACAACTTAAAGGTTTTTTAAAAACTAATTTTAATGTTTTTAAGTGAATCGGGTGCAGCTCTGACTCCCACCCCCGACCCAGAACTGGATTAAGGGAAAGAAAATGGATGAATGGAATTTTAATGTTCTGTGATTATTTATGATTTTAACACCTTTTTTCTACCTCATTCTGTTCAGCACTTCGAGTTTCTTTGTTGTATGAACTGTGCTATACAAATAAACTTGCCTTTCCTTGTCTACATCTATGCATGTAAAGTTTGAAGTTGAATTTATGAAGGACAATGTGCAGTTACATTAAAAAGATGGCTGCTCCGGATTTTCCATCTGTTATATAGTATTAAATGATTGGCTGTAGTTATTCTATGGACTACAAGTGTATTACGACCGCAAAAACAGTAGCTCTCTGCCGTTTCTGTTTCATAAAAGTACCTCTCCAACTGAAAAAGGTTGGAGACCCTTGCACTGTAACACATACAAGAAGCCAGTGCAGGGATCAGAACACAGGAGTGATGTGTTCTCTCTCCCTGGAGGCCGCTGAGCTGGGCCTGGTCAATGCAGCGGAGAGGGAGCTACTGTCAGCCGTCGGGATGTTCTGGCTCGACTGTGTTTGTGCAATAGTTCAGTGTGTTGTTGTGAGAGTCTCCATGTGGCAGCTGCTCCACTCTCACGCTGAGCTCTGAGGCTTCTCTTCCACTTTTACACATTTAATGACCCGCTGGAGGATACCGACATAGATTCCTCTGTTCGGATCTGGTTTCTCCTCATGGAGCAGAAAACATACACTATAGTTTTACAAGTTTCTACAAGTTCTGACACATTCTTCTTTATGTGTTTAAAATAGACAAACATGTGTGTCTTTAAAGGTGTCATGAATCGGAAGGAATTTTTTTTTTGTTGGCACAGTTTGTACACAAAGCGACTGAAGTGCTCAACATAACAAGATAGTAGCAATTACAGGCATTAATGATAAATAATCACAGTACATAAAAAAAAAAAATCATTTAAGGTTTTAGCTGCATAAATATGAAATGCTGCCTCCAAATGTTTAGTCCTGACACCAGTCCCTGCAGGAGATCAGTCCCTGTGCTCATCAGAATCCCAGCAGGAGGCTTGTACCTGTGCTCATCAGAGTTGGTTCATGTGGCACTAACATGTCACATGAACTGAGAACAGGACCAATGTGATGGTACTTCCTGGTTCTAGTTTGGACTCCGGCTAAAGCATAATAGCAATTAGCAATAGTAGCTGTGAATTCCACCTCATTTTCAAAGTACAACATCATCGAGTCGATCTGGGTAAGGCCCAGTCCCAACACTCGCACTTCACCCTCGCGCCCCTCATTTGCGCCTTCCCGATGATGGGTGCGAGTGCGTAGGGCGTCCCAATTCTTCTGGGAGGTCTTTGGCCCCGCCCCCTTTGCGCCCCTGATCCACACTTCGCCGTAGCCTGCATCTATGCGGACTCTGGCGAAGGATATTGCCCATAATTCTTTGCGGTACGCACCAAAACATCGGGAAAATGCATTTAAATGTAAGTTTTGCAATATATATGCTGAATGTGTGTAAAAAAGTTTTGCTGTTACTTGGAAAGAAGCATAAATGTCTGATGAAGAATTACGGACATTCTATTCTAACAATTTAATAACTTTTTTAAAGCGAGCGTTCATATAGCATTCAATTTAAACTTTACACTTAGTACAATAATCTTAGTATGTATAAAACTGACAAGATAACAGTTAGTTACCCAACTTTATCTTAAAATTAGACAGTTATCTCAAATTACGAATAATTAAAATACATGTATTTTAATGTGTGTGGAACAACTCATTTTGTTTCCCACAGGGTCAGACAAAATTAACTTTAATCTTTATACAGTTAAGGTCTGAAAATGACCATCTCTTGACGAGTCGATGTCGTAACCTGCACTGTCCCAATTCCGCTTTTTTTGCTTGTAACCTGCCACTCAAACCCTTGTGTGCACTTCAGACAAATGCACACTTCGTAGAGTGTAGGGTGCATTGTGGGTATTGGGATCTCAAATGCACAATTTATGCAAGATGCCCCAGAAATTTATAGGAACTCATTTTTTGACTATTGTAAGATACTTGCTTGGGTTTTTGTGTGTTACTATGGTGACGCTTAAAGATGAGTGATACTGAACCTGTAACTTAGCATTAGGCAGTAACAGTATAAATCAGAGGTGGTTTGAATTGGAATGATCACTGACCAATGCTCTTAAAGGTATCTAGTCATTCATTCAGTTTTTGTCCCATTTTAGAGAGATTTTATCTAGATAAATCCAACCTTTACGTTTGCTCTCCTCTCTTTACAATTCCTCTTTGATCTCAGCTGTTTTCTGTCCAAAGTCTTTGTCGGGAGCTGGGTTGTTCTGGTTTGACAGCTGCATCCTGGCGCTTCACAGATCTACTGTAGACAATGTTGGCAGAAATATTTCCCACTCCTTTTTCCTCTAATCTCAAAGCATCATCTTCACACTGCTCCTCCAGCCCAGCGCTCAAATGCAGCCGATAAAGAAGGAGGAGGCTGTGGGCTGTGGATATAAATACATGTAGAGAATTGTCTGGTGGAGATTGGAGCTGATCCGGGTTTAGCTCAAACTCTCTGGAGCATTTTACTGCAAGAAAACAACATGAGATTCTTTTACTGTATTCAGTATGTACCGCTACAAGGTGAAGATGTACTGTACCACACTTTTATGATACTGTAATTATTCTATTGTTGATGACTTTTACTTACATCAGGCTTCCCGAACTTTATTGGGACGTGACACACTTTTTTCAATGAAACTCTGCAGCTTTTATCAGGAAGTACGACCACATTAGTCCAGTTCTCAGGTCTCTGTTCTGGCTTCTGTGGCTCAAATAATCGAAAGAATAGACTTTAAAGCACCTTTGTTTGTCATTAGATTCTCCATGGCCTCGCATCAAAGTACATCTGTGACATGTTGGTGCCATGGGAACTAACTGGGACTCCAAGGAGCACAGGGACTGGCCTCGAGCTGGGGACTCTGAGGAGCAGAGGGACTGGCCTCGAGCTGGGGACTCTGAGGAGCACAGGGACTGGCCTCGAGTTGGTGACTGAGGAGCACAGGGACTATCCTCGAGCTGGTGACTGAGGAGCACAGGGACTGGCCTCCTCCTGGGACTCTTAGGAGCACAGGTACTAGCCTCCTGCTGGTGACTCTGAGGAGCACAGGGACTGGCCTCGAGCTGGGGACTCTGAGGAGCACAGGGACTGGCCTCCTGCTGGGACTTTTGTCATTCTTAACGTTCTTTTATTTCTAGTGGATTAGAATATCTATTGTGGACATTACAATTCCAATTATCTTTTTTGCAAAGTAATCACAGAGTAAAGCATTGCCGTTCAATTAATCTCATGGTAATGGCACGTATAGGGAATTCTTGAAAATATAAATCCCTGTATGCAACATTATCTTTGCCGTTGAGTCCCATGTGAGACTTCAAACACAGACACATCACTCACATTATACTCTTGCACTTGCCCGGTCAGAGCTCACACCATCAATAATGTTCTATGTGACCGTCCCCTTTATTAAAAAACCACAGTTCGGCCTCTCCATCTCACTTACTGCCACTCTGGTCAATTAGAAAGGCCTCATTCTAATCATCTCTCATTGTAATGGCCGCTGTATGCCTCCATGTAATGCCTAACGACCCAGCTCCGTCCGCTCGTGCCTACAGGTTGCGCAAACCCAGATCTCGTCCCAATCTTTCCTTAATTTGACATTTCTGAAGCGTATTCTCAGCATGGACTCGCAAATGCTAAATGTCCCTCGGAGCCATGTGCTGCAGTGAAAGTTGTCCAAGTTCGGCGGAGGTTTAAGACGGACGGATAATTGCCAGAGAGACCGAGACTGTCCCTACAGCTATCAGCTCCTCCACCAAAACTCGGCTCCAGCGAGAGCTCCGGACACAGGCTGCGATTGCTCCATCAGGGTCTGCCTCGCTCCAATTTCTGCTTCCATTCTATCTTCCATTAAAACTACCTCCATCTGTCCACCTGTCCGTCTGTCCACCTACAACCCGAGCTATTTATATATATATACAACTGCAGCCATAGCCGGTCCAGGTCCAGAATGTTCTGAGGATCTATCAAAAACGAGTGGCAAAGAAACTAAATCAAAACATTGAAAAGTGTGGAGAAGTAGCAAGAGTCTGAACACATATCAGAATCCGAATGCTTTTGATTGACTTTGTATGTAACAGATAAGTACAGGACAGTATAGCAGACAAGATTTACAACATAAGTAGCTGCTCTGATTCAGTCCAGTCCAGTTTATTCATAACGTAGTGCTAATAAAAACCACTAGGTTGACCAAAGTGATGTACAGAAAAAGTCATGAAAAAATATGAAATTTTTCCCCACAAAATCAATTAAAAGCCAATGGGAACAAGTGAGTTTTAAGATGAGACATACAAACAGGAAGTGAACAGTCCAACACACAGAGGCTGCTCATTCCACAATTTAGGACCAACAACCGACAAAGCTCGATCTCCTCTGAGTTTCCGTTCAGTCGGAGAAACCCAGAGCAAAGCCTGGTCTGCCGACACGTTTCTTAGCTAGCTGTAAATGTGTCAATATCAAAACATCGATCAACTTTTATTTGTAGAGCGCCTTTCCTACACAAGGCAACACAAAGCCCTTCATAAAGTCACACACAACAAGCACATCACATACATTAAAATCTACTTATACATACAAAATTACGAATAAAAACAAATCAATTCATTATAAAACAATCACACAAGTAATTCCAAGCATTCTTAAAATAATAAATAGCCACAGTGCATACAGTCAGTTGTATACCTAAATATATCTATCTACAGTATTGTGTAAAGTTATATACATGGGGCTGGATAGTAAGTAGATAAGATCACAAACCAGGAATTTGCTTTGGCTCAAATTCCTGGCTTTGTTTGCAGAAGTTATAAAACTCAAAATAGATATGAGGCATACAAACAACAAATCTTAGCATTTCTTAAATTTTCTACTTTACACATATTATGCGCAGTAAGAACATTAAACAATAGACATTTAACAATACAGTTTAAAGTAGCACTGGTCAGTATTTAGTATTACTGGTGTTATTTCTTGTTTTTTCATTCAGTTTGTCTCATCTGCACATTGTAATTTCTGCTAATATCATGTAAATATATAGATCAGGGGTGCTCACACTTTTTCAGCATGCGAGCTACTTATAAAAGGATCAAGTCAAAATGATCTACCTACTACAAAAATGCAAATCATATATTTCAAAAAATATTCTTTATATCTACAATGTATGTTTATGTACATTCAAAACAGCATGAGCCAATATAGCACAACACAACACAATTACCATTTTTTGTCATTACCCGAGTTTACTCTTATGACTTGCACTGAATTGAATCGGCCAGGGAGGCATAGTCCGGAAAATTGGTGGTAACTCGCTGACAAGTTTGTCGTGGTTTTGCTTTCCTGCACTGAGCGCGGTTGTTTGCGCATGTGCAGTCACCTAAGTGTCAGTAAAACATTACTGAGTAAAACACAGATGTCATTTGACTGTGGTGCCATGTCCATGTGCCATGCCTGTTTTTTTAAAATCCAAATATTTCCCCTCCTCCGTTTATAAAATAATTAGCATCCACACATCTGCGTTATCAGTCACATTTGTAACATTCCAAACATGTGCGTCTCTTACGTCCTGTCCTGCGTTGGGGAAAAACACAGAAGTGGGCGGAGTTCTGATGCAGACGCCGGTAACGGCACTTTTACAGTCATAGAAGACACTCAGAGTAAAGAGTAAGACGTATGTTTACAAGCACTGACCCCGTCCTCAGCCCTGGTTTAGTCCTGGTTTAGTCCTGGTTTAGTCCTGGTTTAGTCCTGGTTTAGTCCTGGTTTGGTTGTTTTCGAGCGTGAGTCCCTGCGATCACTTTGCTGCCCTCTGATGTGGAGCGAGGATGTTCGCTGCTGCGAGCATCTCACAGCGAACAGTTTTTAAGGTAGTATGATCCATGCTTCAGTGATCAGAGGAATTTAGGGGGGTACTGTGGCGTGCGAGAACGCAAAACTCTGGTTATCTCTGTCTACACACAAATGCATTAACGGAGTTTTCAAAAATCTCCACTTTGCCCTGAGTTTTTTGTATATATTCGTTTAGAATGTGTAATTTTTTATTTATTTAATGCGATCTACCAATACTACCTTTGCGATCGACTGGTAGATCGCGATCGACGTATTGAGCACCCCTGATATAGATAGACATATTTATAGAAAGGCAGATACTTTACTGATCCAAGTTGGAGAAATTCAAGTGTCCAGCAGCAGCAGAAACACATCCATCCGCACAAACACATAAGTACATCAATTCTAAACCTTTTTAACCAATTAAAAATACAGATATTGGATTTTTCAAAATGGGGAGAATACAAAAGGTTTTAATCTTCCTCTTTCTCCTTTTGTGCATCATGGTCTGAGTGTTCTCCTTGTCAGTAATCATTAACTCAATTCAATTCAATGTATTTTTGTATAAATCACAACAGCAGTTTTTCTCTGAGGACTTTTTTAAATGCCCAATGTCTATAAATGTCCTTAAACGTCCTGGATCATCAGCCTCCTGCTTCAGTTTTAAAAGACGCTCAAAAATATAATTGCAAACATGTTAGCCATCTTTCTTTTTGAATCACGTTGAGTTGAGCATGAACTGGACAGGGCAGTAAAACAAATAGTAAGGTTACTTTGATTTACTCCAAAAATCCAATGTATACATTTCATTAAAGTTTTTTCAAGAAACCACACATCTTTTCTTTGAATTTTGTGTTAAAAAAAAAAAGTAAGCTGAAGCCCTGGCAGAGAGCGGCAGTGTTAATGAAAAGTTATTAGCGAAAGAACTGTTTGGCCTCGTTACTGAGATCAGCTTTAAAGAAATACACAAGAAAAAAGTGATTATTGAAATTACGCCTTCATTTCCAGGGGACAATTTTCAACATTAGCCGAAGCCTCGAAAATTGAGAACAGGACAAAAAGACTAATTCTCTTCACTCTTATTTAGCACAAAAAAAGATCTGCTTTCTATTCAAATGCTTTTTTCTGTTCAAATTGGCGTCTGTAGCGGGAAGCGAGCCCCCCTGACGAGACACGTTACACAAATACAGCAGACAACATCCACAAAAAAGCTTTAAGAAGGTGCTGTGTACATAAACCACCGAAGAACACGGTAAAGACGGGAATAAAGTCGCTCTACGTGTGGCTAGAGCAAACTCAAAGACCCAACACTAAGGCCTCATTCCCCATGGCGTGGGACAAAAACAGTGACAAAACTTTTTACTTTTTATTGATAATTGTATAACGCCAATCCATCCAGATTGGGAAAAGACATCGTAT